TTCTTTTTGATGAGTTAATAAAGAAGTTTGACTATGCAGCTGTAGAACTTTATAAAATAATAATAAAAATTGCAAAATCTCAAGAATAACAATACTTCTTGAACTGTTAATAATTCAGTTCACTTGATGATAACAGCTGTTTTTTCTAAATTCATCTCAATATCTTCTGTGATGATAATAAACTTTAGATATTTAATGCACTGCACACTGAATTCACTCTTATTAATATTTATCTGTAGCTCAGCTTTTCTTAATTATTGTAAAATCTTTTTTATCTGCTTCTCATGCTTCTTCTTAATCTTGCTGTAAATTAACAGATCATTCACAAATTCTGTTATAAAATCATTCAGATAAATTAAAAAAAGTTGAATTAATATATCACTAAAAGACTTCTGATCTGTTTGTAAGTTTAAATGAAATCATATGATATTTGAATAATTCATATTATATTCAGAAAACTGATCAAGTCTTTTGATTTCTCACTCATACAGATTTTGTGAAATTCTTGACAGATATTGAGCTTGATGAAATACTTTGCTTTATTTAATTAATTCATCAGCTCATCAATTAAGAAAAGAGAATATTGATCATGTTTTGAGATTGCATTTAACTTTCAGAAATCAACACAGAAGTGCAGTTTTGCTTTATTATATATAATAAGAATTAATAATATAAAGAGTGCAGTTGTTGATATAATAAATTCTTTTTTTAGATTTATCTTCAAGTACTTCTTAACTGTTTTCAGTTCTTTCATACTCATTTTATACAGCAGTGCTCAGTCTATGTTTCTGTTTGGATTCACTTCAGATAAAAGATAAATCTTATAGTTCACTCTCTTATAATACAGCAGCAACTGATCTGAGATCTTCTTTAAGAATATATTTTAAAATTACTTATAGATTTTTGAGAGTTTTTTATTAATATTAATCTTCTTATTATCTTCATTCACTTTATTAATATCTTTTCACTTTTCATCTATTAGTCTGTTGATTTTCTGAAGTGAAGTTATATGACAGCTATTAGATGTTTTTCTCACATGTTAATAATATGCTACTGCATTAATAAATATCATGTTCATTATCTTGCATTAATGAGAATACTGGTTGTTTTGCTTTTTCAGTGTTTTTTAAAATATGTTTAATTAATTTAAAATATAAGTTTCATCAGCAGAATTTTTCCTCATTTGCCTGTGTTCTTTCTGACAGTTTCATTACTCATGTATAATCTCAAGTTCTATCAATTTATCTCAACAGTCTGCTTCTTCTTGATGCTGTGAGTTCAGTTTGAATTATTATAGAATTCTTTACAGTATCAACTTTAATATTACTGTTAATGCAGTATTTTTTATTAAAGACTTCTTCAGTTAAAGTAATTTTTAATCAGTTATATTTAAGCAGATATTATGATCTGCTAGTCATTTTTATTTAATGATCAAGAGATATTGTTTTAAATTAGTAATCAGCATAGAAACATTTTCAAATCAATAATTATTCAATCACAGATGAAAGAAGATAAGATAAGTGATGAGTGATTCAGCATTTTTATTAAAGTCTCTGATACTGCAGGCTTCTGATAATCAGTAAGTATTTCCATCATAGATTTGAGCCACATTCACTGCTAATTATGTGTTAATGAAAATTAAATCATTTACTCTGATATTAATGAGAGAATTGATTGGGATTGTGACTTTATTCAGTATTAATTTACTACATATAAGAAATGACTGTTCTTTCATTAAGTTGCTTAAATTCAGCTTCTTTAATAATACTTTTCTATTCAGAATGAAGACTTCTTCTAGACTTATTCTTTTTTCAACTGATTGTTTTCATTATTGAGTTTCAACTTCTGAATCTTTACAGATATCTTTTATTTGTATGAGTAATTATACTTTATATAATTAAAATTTTTGCAATTGTGACACACAATAGATTTCAGTCAGTTCTTGTTTTCTGAAGCTGAAGTCACAGTATTCTTACAGCTGAGTATGAAACTTTTAACTTACTGTTCTGTATTATAAATAACTGTTTCAGCAGAGTTTCAGCAGTTAATGACTGTCTGAATTTCTTTCAGAATGCAAGCAGTGTGTGAGTAAATTTTCTGAAATTTATTAAAGATTCTGATAATGATATGAACAGCAGCCACTGCTTTCTGTATTTCATGAGACAGCTTGTTTATAAAATCATTCTTGTAATTCTTCTTAAATATCTTCACTTCTCTCATCAAGTGCAGAAACTTGATAATAAATTTATAATAATTATTATTATTTCTCATGATCAGTCAACAGTAATCATTCTTTGCATTAAGAAGCTTGTTCAGATTCTTCTAAATTTTCTTCAAGTGTTTAAACACTTTCTCTGCTGTTTAATAATATTTCAGATGTTCTTCTTGCATACAGAGAGCAATATAACATGCAGCATTCTCATCAGTTCAATTCTTAATATAAATAATCTTACTGATTTCAGTGAAGAAGTGGTCAGCATTCTCTCACAGTTTATTCTTCATTCTGAAAAGCTAATACTTAAACTTGAATTTCTTTTCATTCATGAGATGCTTGAAGTCATCAATTTTAACTGATTACTTTTCTCTGAATTCAATTAAACAAGCAGAAGTACTTTCTCATTTCTACATATTTAATAATACAGTCACATATGCTTTTTTATATTAATCTCATTTCTTCATCAGAACAGTTACTTGTTCTTTCAGAACACTGATCTGATTCTGAGCTTCTCTTTCAATTTATTTACTGTGCACTTGAGTTTTATGAATTGTGCTGCTGATTTCATTATAAATTACTCATGCATTCTGTTTCACAGTGGTGTTAAAGTATTTGAAAGAAATTCAGTTCATTTCATCTTCTTGTGAGCTTGAGACTAGATTAATTCATTAATATAAAAAAAAATCCAACAGCTGATTCTTTAAGAGTAATAAGTTTGAATTATTTGCAGATGCTGATACACTCAAAGTCATAATCAATACTGCTTGAAATCTTTTAATCAAAAGACTTCAAAAAGAGCAAAGTAAGATGATGTTTAGTATATGATACATGAGCCTCTAGATGCAAGAATAGAAGAAGAAGAATCTAATAACTGTTATACTAGATAGATCTAAACAAAAATACTAAACATGATGAAGAAAAGAGAAGTCTGAAATAATCATGCAATATATATTTTCTTGTTCTGAGCTCTTGCTCTGAGCTCTTGCTCTACTAACAGCAGTCATTTGAAGAATCTGATCACATGACTCTGAGGCTGATGCTTCTTTACCACTCTGCACCAGATTCTAACAGTCACCAGTACTGAAACTCTGAAGCAGCTGAAAGGCTTATATATTAGCTATATTATTATTATTATTATTAATATTATTCATTATAGTCTTATGCAGTCAGGGACTATGAAGACTATCTAACAGCTCTTCTAGCTGTAGAATTTAACTAGATATAAAAGAAACTGATGATACAGCTTTGATAAATTAAAAACAAATTGAAAAGTGATAAAACAAATAAGAATTCTTTTTATTATAGAAAAATAATTGCAACAGTAATAATTTTTTATTTTTATTTTTCATTTCAGTAACCACTGTCTTATAGCTAGCTTTATTTCTTTAAGAAACAACACTAATCACTTCAGACTTAAAGAAGTTTTGAAAAGAAACTTTAAAGAAAGTTGTGAAATATTTAATTTCTTTTGAATTTTTTATCTCTCTTTCTTTCAAACAGAACAGTCAAGCAATAAATGCTTTGAATTTTCTTTGCAGCCACAGTGTCTGCAGTTCTGATATTAGCTATATGAATTATTATATATTGACAGATAGAACAATCTGCCTCTCACTCAACAGAGAAATAAAAAAACTTAATAAAAAGAATTTTATAGTTATATAAAAAGAGAATTCAAAAAAGCTCTTTACTCAAAAAGACTTTCTCTGCACAAGACTTATTAAGTAAAAAGCTCATATGAAAACTGAAGAAAGAAATGACTGATTATTTAATAACAAACTCTCTTAAAAGCTTTTTGAAATAGCTTAAGAGGGATGTCTGTCAACAAAAAATATATATAAAATGAAGTGACACTGTAGAAGATTCAATTCTCCTAATCTGACACCTGATGATTGAGTGTAATTTCTCCAGCTGGCAAGGTTAATCCACATCAAAACAAAAACAAACAACACACTAGATACTGATTTAGTTGAAATTGTCTTAACTTTTTTTATTAATAAAGAATTTGCAGATGCAGATGACTGCTTCTTGTCAGTTTTTTTTTATTTATTCTTTATTGCTTGTTAGTCTTGAGATCTTGATTCAAGATTCTCATTAATTCAGAGAGGTATACTCATGCAGCTTTTGACATTTTTGTTTAAAGCTTTGATGAGATTTCAAGAGTTGTACTGTTGAATTTAATGAGAGATCAGCTTTCAGAACATGTAAAATATAGTAAAAAAAAATTAACTGACAGCAGCATGCAGATCCTCTTAATAAGAAAGCTTGAGAAAAGAAAAAAAAAAGAGAAGAAGAAGAAAAAATAAGAGATTTCACTAGTACAAAATTTTATTATTTTAGATTGTGTTTATTCAAATTGAATTTGTGTTCATTCAAATTGAGTAAGACACAAAATTTGCTGAGCTTAGTTATTTAAGCAAAAAGATCAGAGAGGTTCACAGTTGAACTGTTACTCTGCATCAAGAATTGAAATTCTGTCAGAGAAAGTCAAGATCAAGAACATCAAGAGTGCCAAGACCACCAAATGCAAGGCTAAACTAAAAAGAGTTAGCACATCAACAAAGATTGGCCACATTCAGTTGTGGCCAAGGCTTAGCATCTTAGCAGCTGCATGCCCATCTGACAGTGGACAGAGTACTCCGTACTCTGTATTTGTATATCCAGACGCTTGGTAACTTTCATATGGATAGTTAACCAACAACACCACTTTTCACTTAGCTGGGCACCTGGGAATGAAGTTCAGATCTTCTCATGCTACTCCATACCTGAAGTTCTAACCACATTCATAATGGAACCGAATTTCATCTCTGACAAACTGAGTGTTCAAAATCTTGGTGCTCCAACTAAGAACTGTGATTCCCCAGTACCCAGACTTGATGGTACTTGATATATGTCTTGGACTTGCGTTGGCTTCTTGAACGCTGACAGTTGAGATTGCGACGCAGATCCTCCGAAATTTGATTTGGAGTCATACATCGGGAATTATGGTGGTATGTTATCTCGGACCTTTTTATCACGACTTATACGTGGTAACGAGATTGGTAACCTCACTTTAGGAAGGACGAGATTTCACCGCCTTCATTTTATTGGCACACATTCGACTTACCTGTCTGTCGAAGCGTTGAAATTGGCCATCGCCGAAGCCCGCGGTGGAAAGGATGTAACAAATTATCAGAAAGCCGTGGAAGCCCTCACCAAGGTTGCACCTTCTGAGGCCGAGGCTTCTATAGATACCGAGTGGATTGAACAGACTTTGAAAGATGTGCAGGCTGATACGGATAGGCTTGAGCATGAATTGAAAGGATACAAGAATAACCTCATTAAGGAAAGCATTCGAGTAAGTTTCTGTTAGATGCTTGTCAAGCGCCGTGTTGATTGGTGGTATGCAGATGGGCAACGAGGACTTGGGTCAACATTATCACGAAACTGGTGATCTAAACGCGGCATCTAAAGCCTATTCACGCATGCGAGATTACTGTACTACGACATCCCATATTGCTTCCATGCTGTTCAAGAACATCCACGTTGCAGTTGACCGTGAGGACTGGCTTGCCGTTCAGTCTAATTGCCATCGCCTCCGCAATTTTCAATTTAAACCGGATGACGAGACCAAAAACAAGGCAAAAATGTGGGCATCACTTGGGCTATCGCAGTTAGCAACGGGAGCTTATTATGATGCTGCCACGAGCTTTCTGTCGACTGATTCTAGCTTGGCCGATAGTTATAAGGAGGTGATATCCCCGAACGATGTTGCCGTTTATGGAGGACTTTGCGCACTGGCATCAATGTCTCGCACGGATCTCATCAAACGCGTGATGGAAAATAAGTCCTTCCGAAATTTCCTTGAGCTTGAACCCCATATTCGACGAGCAATCTCCTTCTTTTGTGGCTCGAAGTTTCGGTCATGCTTAGATATCCTAGAAAGTTATCGTGTTGATTATTCCCTCGACGTTCATTTACACCGGCATGTACGCGATCTCTACGCTCAGATTCGTACAAAAGCGATGCGACAATATATCCTACCTTATCGCCAGATCACCTTGACATCCATGGCTAGTATGTTTTCTCCGAATGAAATGATAGCCGACGCCAATGGGACCACGAACCTTAGCTCTTCGTTTTTGTTAGAGCTGATTGGGCTCGTTCAAAATGGCACCCTCGATGCACGTGTGGATTTGGAAAAGGGAGTTCTTGTTACACGGCAAACAAACAAACGCCGAGAAAGTCATAAAAGAACTATGGAGAGTATTGAAGAGTATTTACACATTTCCAATTTGCAATTATTGCAATTGAACATGTGGCATGCCAGCTTGAAAGTGCCAGAAATTCAACAACATGATTCAGACACTCTGGGGCAGCAAGTTGAACCCCATGAAGAGCTTAGCACAAAAACCTGGAAAACACTGACTGATAAATTCCAAAGAAACATTAAACAGTAGGAATTCCGGGTTATAAATATGCTTCGGCCTTGAGTTGTGGTTTTTCCCATCCCCGTTTGACTAACAGTTAGGGACACTAACAGTACAAAGTCTCTTTTATCTTCCATCATAAAAGCTGCAGCAGAGTAGCTTTGATCAGTGATTAGAGAGATAGTTACCAATGCTTCAAAAAGTTACAGCTGAATTAAGGGACCGATTTTTGAGTTGTCGTAAGTGAGTTGAAACAAGAGAAATACTGTAGGGATTTAATTACATGTTCGGGCTAGGTGTTCATATGTATCTCCAGCAGCTTTCAATAGAGTTGCTATCACCTCTTTTCTCCGAGAAATTTGGAGTTCCTCATCATGCAACTCTTTGAGTTTATTGGTAAGTTGTTGCTTGGAATCCTCCCCTAAAGATACAACCTGGGCGATGTTCCCGAGAGTCGTACGTAGGCTTGGAATTGGAATAACTTTCGGTGGTGTAGTTGAATGTGGACCAAGCGCTCCCTGTGTTCGGATACCTTCGGTCCTAGCAACCATGTGCTTCATATTGCAACTTGTTTCATCTCTTTGGTCCGAATCATCTCCCCACGACATGTTTTCTGCTTGATCAATTAATGCCTTAATTTCTCTACGGCGCATCTCTCGTTCTTTGTGTTCTCCACGCCTGCTCAGTGGCATTGCGGACATTTCGCCTAGATGTTCGCCAAAGTCAACATCATCCGATACCAGTGACGGTTTAGAGCTCATTGCTATGAGGTCAAGCGAAGTGTCGCCAGTCCCAGGCTCCAATGATATGTATTCTTGGTCGTCACCTAACCCCTCGAGTTGCTCTTTTCCTTTCTCCATTTTAGACCATGTTTGCAATGCAGATGGGGAGGAGGATGTCGAGGTTTGGCCACTCAGATGATGTTTGTCGAGGTAGATGGGGGCCTCTTCCGGCTGCAATTGTCTAGGATCCGGAACCTTCAATAATTGTCGGCTTGTTGGAGCTCCTCGCGGTGTAGTCCTGCCCAGAACGCCTGCTCTCGGGCGTTTAGGGATGATCACCCCGGAGTCAACCCCATCATCGGCGGTCATAGAAGTAGGCCCCGACTCCTGTGTAGGGAAGGGCGATTTTTTGCTAAGTTTCATTGTCGACTTTTGCTCGCCGCTACTAGCCTTTGTAATAGTGAACACAAGAGTATTAGCTAGAAACCAAGGAGGGCTATGGGAAGTGAGGACTTTGACCTTGATATAGAGAAAAGAGGGTAGTTCAGATCTCTGAGGGGGTAGTTTGGACCTTTTAACAATTCCTAATCAGCGCCAGGACATTGGCTTCTGGAAGGCTTCAAATAACGAGTGGTTAGAGCCAAGCATGGGGTTAGTTGATGTAACTTAGTTGGTTAGTTAGTTGGGGGGCTTGAGGAAGTTCCAAACTGCTTGGGCTATGCCGCTACGGAGGAGTTCGTTAGTAACAACTCCATAAAGCCAACCTCAATGAGCTAGTCAACTAGTAACTAACTACAGAGTAGTTAGCTGGGACAAAAAGATATCAGAGTTAAACCAGTTATTACCCCCCATGAATATTTTCCAGTTCAAGAAACTGACACACACAGTATGAAAGATGGTATGCAGCGCCACAATAAAGAAAAGCGCTTGCTGCGTTCTCATGATGGCCAACGATTGAAAAGTGACTTGTCTATTTACTTTCCTAAGTATGAACAGATACTGAGCCTGAAACCTATCAAGATAGGTACATTCTACCTGCTTTTCTTCTAGCATATTTTTGTTCATATGCTAATTTGTTTGTTACAGAATACCTCTCTACAGGCTCAAGGATCATTCTTGCGAATGATATAACTGTTTTTGAACCGTTCCTTGAACCTACCATTTTTCGCAGACCTGTTCACAATCCGCCAAGGGCCTTGCAAAAGGCACATTCTTTAGGACACGGAAAGGAAGCTCCGCTTCTTGATGTACATCAAACCAAGATCATTTTCGATTTGGCGCTGCCAGCTTCCAACGGCCAATTGAAGGATCCCCTAAGCAATGGAGTATTTTTCAAGGCCCATAGAAAAAATGAAAGGAAGGAGACGCAACTCCGAAATATTGAAAAGGAGCGAGCCCAGCATCAGCAGATACAGTTAGATCGTCTTCTTGTTGCCTTGCAAGGTGCAGATTGGGTCCGAGTGATGGGAATCAGCGGTATTACCGAGTCAGAGAAAAAGCTTTACGAACCGAAACGTGCTTACTTTATTATGGAGTTGACTGCACTGCTGGAGAAATTTAAGTTTTGGAAAGAGAAGGAAAAGAGGCGAAAAGCGGAACAGCAGCATCTCCCCTTGAAAAAATCAGACTCTTGTACCCATGAAGCCAGCAATAGCCACCGTGTCTATGAACGCGGAAATTGGGACGAAGAAGATATCGAGCATCAGTATTCCCATTTACCGTCGGAACCTCTCGATAGGCTTGGGGATGATGAAACTGATGATATCGATGCATGGGCCGCGCATCAGCTTCACCAAGAAGCTCTGTCAGCGTTACCCCAAAAATACTCGAAGCCTGGACCCCAAGCCCAGGTGATGCATCCAACCAATGCTCAGGCCATCGGTCGAAACCCCCCATCCAGATCGGAAGTGAAACTGATGGCCCGTCTTCCTGACGATCGAACCGACAAACTTGCTACTACAAACTGGAAATTTGTTCCCTCAATGGCAGCGTTTGGCCAAATTATGCCACAAATACAGCGAAGCGTTTTCTTGCCGCCACGCTGTATATTGACCGAAGAAGCCATAAGAGATTGTTTGAGAAGGAAGAGGAGGCGCAAAAGAGAGAGACTCGAGGATGATTGAATGGGATAACTCGACATTTACTTTGGTTTCAGCAAATGCCCCTCAGTACCTGTTAGCCTTGCGTTAGCTCCACAGAAACCTATCAATTCAATCTCCCTGGGGTTAGGATACTAGTCCTGTGCACAAGCGGAACGGTGTTGTATCGTCGATATCATATATCATACATATATAAATTTATCAAATGCCCGGATAAAACCGCTGCCGAGACTCGAGAACCCTAGGAACTCGTCGACTCGTCGTTCACGTTATTCAATCTATCTGGCATGACTTCCATCACAGCCTCGCATCATGGCCAGTTTTCTTGCTGGGTGATTGCCATCCGAACTGAATGGTCTGACCAACTCCAGGTTCCACAATGACATTGACAAGTACAACTCTTTCATTTTCCAAGAAGCCCTGCCTTGTTGCATCTTCTAATTCTTGCTCTGTCCTCACAAAATACCCAACACCTCCACACATAGTAGCCAGATATTCGTAACGAGTATTATAAAGGAGACTTGTAGAACGAAGACCCTTTTTTGATCGATGACAATAGCTTCTGCCATGGTCTTGTGTCTCGTTCATGACCGTTTGCTTTTGCAACTTCCGCCACTCTTCTTCGTTTTCGGTATCCCCGTGGTATATCCCAGAGTTGTTCATAACAAAAATCAATGCCGGTATCTGTTGGCGAGCAAGAGTTTCAATCTCCATGGCGCTGAATCCAAATGCACTGTCTCCTTCGAACGCTACAATTTTCTTTTGGTTCTGTGGGCCACGGCCTATCGAAGAAATATTATAAGCCGCGTGGGCGGCAACAATGTATCCTAAGCCTACTCCCATAGTCGCAGAAGTACCGGCATCCAGTTTCTGGCGTGGGTGTTGTAACTGAAACACAGAACGGGAAATGTCCATCGTATTTGCTCCTTCGGAAACGTACACGATATTCCCGTCTTCTGGTGCCGACAGGGAATCTAACGTTGCCTTGATAATGTGGAAGGCACGTTGGAATGTCAAAAATCCACTGACCGGAGTTTCTAGGAGGGCCCTAGTTTGTGATTTTCTTTCGTTCTCCTTTGCGGACGTCGCAAGAAGAGAGCCATATGATTGGCCTGGATTGATAGAACGCGGCTCATAGTGCCAA